TACAGGTCTGAGTGGCAGGTCCACTGAACATCACAGAAGGGTCAGCCCACTTCTTGCCTGGGGCAGCAGGGAATGCTACCACCTCCCAGGTGCCTGAATCTGAGCAGCAGGAGAACAGTGCCACAAAAAGGTACCTGAAATTTGATGATGAAATGGGAGGAAGGTCCTTGGTGCTATATGACCCCCTCCAGCTCCCCAGCAGTGCAGTGTTGGACCTGTCCAGGGAGATGCAGCTTGAAGCCATCTGGCTCAGAGTTGGGAGGGCATACTTCCATGCCATAGTACCCTCAGGGACACTCAAAGACAGCCAAAAGACCAGTGGATAAAGGACTTGGGCAGACCCAAAACCACAAAGCATTTTGTGCAAATGTGCATTTCGTGCAGTTTGCATGGTTCATTTGAAGAAATAAAGCTTGCACAGTTATGAAATCTGTCCCTGGTATGTTTGCTGTTCAGGTCTTAGCCTGACCTAGTCAGCAGTCTGTGCCTTGGTTTCCCCCTCCCAGCTAGCCCTCTCTGAATGCAGCGTCTGCATGAGTCTTCCAGCTCTCCTGCTCCTTGGTTTCCCCTCTCCATTTCCCTCACCCCAGTCTCACACAACAGGTAGCGTTAAGTCCAGCAATTAACATGAAAGATTTTTACCAATATTTTGGAAAAGCACATTAAAGGTACAGCACGGTGAATGAAGGGTTCATAATTGCTCAGAGGTCCCCATACCCCCTCCTACCCAGCAGAATGCTGTCCCAGAAAGCAGTAAGCCAAGGCTTCCCTTATCAGTATGGCTTGGTGGTGATTTTGTCCTGGACACTCTGCTGGGAATGTCACTTTAGCCTGGGCACCATCTAAAGTGCTAGGGGCTTCCCTCTCCATGGGTCCATCTGGAGCTGGTCTGATTTCCAGGAAGGCTTCCTCTCTCATCTCACATAGTGTGGAGAATGTAGACAGCAGCCACAGAGCTGGGAATGTTCCTTAGCCTGTGTTCAAGAAAGACCACTAGGGATTTCCAGTGTGCCTTTAGGTGCCCAAAGGTGCACTTCACCTTCTGAAACATGCTCACCTGTCAACTGAAGAACTCCTTCCTCGGGAGCTGACCACTAATGGCTTTATGAACCTGGGGAGCAGCAGGGTGGCCAGGTCCTTATAATGATCAATAGGGAAACAGTTGGCCCACCCAAAACCATGGTAGGAGCCGGGGATAAACTCCCCCACCCCATTACCTTTGGGAGGCTGGAGTTCCTGAATACATGGTCATTACGTATCTGGCCTGGCCACACAACACTGATGTTAGTGAAGTGGTCCAAAACTCCCTGAAGTATAATGGAAAAGAACCACTATGATTTTTGTAATCAGAGGCACAGTGAGGTGTGTTCAGAATAGGTATGTGGATCCCATTGATGGAGCCCACCCAGTTCATGAAGCCCAGCTCTTCAAACCCAGTGATAACCTTCTGTGGATCCTTGAGCTAGATGAACTGAGGCCCCAGCTCCTCTAGTATGGCATCACACACTTTGTACACAGTTATCACTGCTGTTCGTTGGGTCCATGGCAAGCTGGTTGGTGACAGAACAGAGGCTGACTTTGAAATAAGCAGGGCCACATGTCTCTCGATGGACATAGGGTGTTGAAGCCCAATGTCTTGGTGCTGGAGCAGGGGCAGCTCAGTGAAAAGGTTCATGAACATGCCATGGGACATCCTAAAGTTTTACCGCCACTGCTCATCATCCTAGGTTCCAAGCATGAGCTGCCCCCACTAGTCTGAGCTCACCAGTAGCACCTAGCAGTGATGAGATGGCATCTGATACCAGGCCAACAGCACTCCAGTTTGTGTGGCATTGTGTCATGCCTCTTGCAAGTGGGCCAGCATGATGGCAGCATCATGGTCCTCAAAGCAGCACCTCATTAAGGCCAGGAGCTCGTGCTTCCAAAACGAAGAGGGCCCATGGATTAGAGCAGTTAGGGCAAGGATTTGTTTGGTTCCACCTTTCATCATCTCCAGGAAGCCCCTGGAGATCCGACGCCGGGTGGAATGGCTGGTCAAGGAGAGATTGGAATTTGCATCCTCACATCACATCAGTCATTTGGTGCTTCGGTCTCTGCTCAGCTGTTTCCGGCCACTGTCAGAAATATGGGAAAAAGTCGCTCCAACACTGTATACTGGAAGGCCTGCTCACTGGCCTTCTAGTGGCAGAGCACACACTGTGCATGCAGTCGTACAACATTGCTGTATGACTACTCAGAACATGTTCTACCTTTAATATTGGATAACATTCCACAGACCTCACACATACCCTGTGTGACAAGGCCAAAGGATAAATACCACTGCTTTGAATAAGGCTGGTAGAATAATTTAAATAATGCAACAGAAGGGACTGAAGGATTCCTCTTTCATATGAAAATTCAATTTCTGAAACAGTTTTTTTCTTTCAATATATTTTTTCTCTCAGAAATTTTAGCTGTTTGTACATAGACCAGGGATGCTCCACTCCTGGCATGAGGGTCAGATCTGGCTCCTGATGCCCTGTTACCTGGCCTGCGGGGCTCCATGGGGTCCGTGGGGAGCCCCATGGGACATAGCCCTGCATGTTCAATTGGGTGCACAGGGCAGCCTGCAGCCTGGTCCTGGTGTACAGGGCTGGGCAGTATGGGCTCCAATCCTAGCACATGGTACTGGGTGGGGAAGGCGTAGGGCTCCAGGGCCCCGACACCAGCAAGCAAGCCCTGGCAAAAGCAATGCAGGGCTCAATCCTGGCATGCAGGGGTGATACGGTACTCAGTCCTAGTGTGTGGACACCAGCTGAGGCTGTGAAGGGCCAAATGTGGATGTGTGGACCTGATTCTGGTTCATAAAATCTGATCCAGCCTGTGGACTGGCCCCATGCCACCCATCTGACCCATGAGGCCAAAAGGTTGAGCACAACTACAATAGACATTTATTATTTTAACCAATGCTTTCCTGTACTGGACTTTTACTTAGGATAAATGCTTTATTCTACATATATGGGTTTGGTGGATATAAAATATATTGTATTCTTTTGAAAGTTGTTTCCAACTGTCCTTATAGAACTTAACATGGATGAAGCCAACTAAGTGCCACAAAGATAACTTCATGAAGAACTAAACTGAGAATTATAACCTTCCTGTCAGTTCAGTGAGTTGTTCCATGGGATTCTAAAGCAGGGATACAATTCTTTACTACATTCCATAAAACTTTTCAGAAACTATTACAAAAGATGTAATTCTCCAGTCAGTTCATTTGCAAGATGGCTGTTTCCTATTATAAATTCTGTATAGAAATTTTCAAAAACAGCCTGTAGTATAGGTTGAAGATGGCATCTTATAACACAGACTCACATTTAGAAGTGAAACTTCAGTATGTATGGATTCCAGGAGCTCAGCAAAATTTGAAATAAGGGCCACAGAGGGCTATGGCTTGGCTTTCTCCACCAAGTGCCTCTGAGGTGAAAACTCTTTAGTCAACCTGTAAGCTGATGCCCCATTACAAACCAAGATCCATTTGTCCTAGTTTTGCCTCAGACTCCTTCAAAAGTTGAAGGGACACTTAATCAAGCAGATACACCTACATTTTTCCATAAAATCTGTGCAGTGTTAAATGCATCCGTGGTATATCCCATCACTACAAAGTTCTTGCCACCAACTAAGAACCATGCCAGGTCAACAACAAAGTTGGTGATGAAATTAAATCACACATAGGCCACAGAATGGGATATCAAACCTCTCATTGAGCAAACCCTGTGGCCTTAATATACTGTACAAGATCTACAAAGGGATTGCAGTCAGAGCTGGTCAGAAGTTTTCCAACAAAATGTCTTTTCATTGGAAAATACTAATTTGTCAAACATAAAACTACTCTCAGGAAAGTATGTACCATTCTTGGCAGAAAAGACTTCTCTTGTTCAGGAATTTCTGACCAAGATTTCTGGTTTCTGATCCTGCCCCAGAATACTATTAGTCCCATACTTATGTCTCTCATCTGGAATATGGAATAATGAGGTCGAATTGCCTAGTCCAAGTCTCAGAAAACAAGTTCTTACCCACCAACCTATTAGCAATTCTGAGACTGGGCTCCCACCTTCCTTTACTGGGCCTTTTTTGTACTTTGTATAAACATCTAAATAGACCTGGTTTCTGGTTGCCTCAGCGCACTTACCCACGTACCTCCCTAGTGCACTTCTCACTAAAAATTCTTTGTAAGGTCTTCATTTTTTTGCCAGTAGAAGATGAGAACAGTTTCGAAGGCTTAAACACTTTCTGAAGATGAAAGATTCATTTCCTGCCCAGCTCTACTACATGTAGTCACTATTCAAGCCCATAGATGAGAACAGATTTCATATCTTCTATACCACTAATCCTTTGCATACATATCCACAGAATGGCATGGTAGCATATGAGCAAAGACATTTACCTCTTACACAGTTTATTGTCGCTGTTACATTCCATTCATCTATTTTAAATATGTATTATTTTTTAAAATAAGTACCAATTGCTATTTTAAGTACCTATTACGACTTGCCTTAAACTCAGACTGTAAATTCTCTGGGGCTAGAGCAGTCCTGATAGTAAGCTTTATGTCTTAGCCCTACAAGGCTGTGTCCTAGTTAGGATGTCCAAATGCAGCTTTTAAAGTTCATAAATTTACATGAGAATGCTTTATACTGACAAATAGTTCTGTATTTTAGACACCAGTCTAGAAATATGAGAAACCAGGGGAAACGAGAAATCAGTGCTTTACTTTCTTCCTGTCTTCAAATATCTTCCCTGTTACAACTGGCTTTAAAAAACTATTGTTCTCATTTTCTTTCTCTAAAATGAACTGCAGTTGATAGAACATTGTCACTAAGATGCAATCAAAGCCTTTAATACAATTTTTCAACTTAACATTTCATTCTGTATTAATAGAAAAGATACACCTAGAAAAATTTCCAGTGATACATTTAGCAAGAGTCTTACCTGCTCCACCTCATTGGCTGTGTACTGCATCGCTTCATTATGCTGTTCTTCCAACATTTCTAAGTTTAACTCCTCTAAGAACTCGTTCCTTTCATCATCCAGCCACCCTTCCTCCAGCTGTAAAGAATACATTAGTGCATTATATTATGTTAGCAGGGACGCATGCTAAAATAGGGTAAACCCAAATGGCAACGCCTGACTAGTTCTTTTTATCATAATGATTCTTTTCAGAATGCTAGGCTCCTGCAGTTTGGTTCTCTACAAAGAAGAAGAAGAAAAAATGATAAAAAATGGAACTCTTAGGCCTTTTATCCTTTCTTGAAACACTATGACTGATTTTCTCTCATAATGAAGGAGATTGCACAGCACAGAACATTATTTCCTTTCAAAATGTATGAAAGGCATACTGCATAATCCTGGTGCTGTCATGTTCATTACCTCCAAGAGCTCCAGTGTTAAAAGAACTGCAATGATACTAATAGGGCCATGAGACAATTGGGCTCTTTCCTTTAACAACCTCTACCCCGGTGTTTTTCTAGCGCCTGAACTTCAATAGTACCTCACTCAGTATTTCCATCACATTTCTTGCACTGTTCTTTCAGGTAAACCTACGTGAACAAACAAACAAAAAAAGGATGATTGAATGATGGAATGACTTTTAGAAAGTTATTTTGTTCTTTGGATGTGTCTTTGAACCGGCTTCTTTTAAAGGATATAATATTATTTTAAAATATGTTAAAGACAGTGCTGTAAAAAGAAAAAGGCTGATGCCAAGGTTTTCAATTAAGTGAATGGGTCGTGGCTGTACACACTTGCACACTATACTGTGTATACAAACTGTGTGTCCATTTATGTTTGTAATCTCTTTCCAAATATCATGCTGGATGGATTAAAGAAAGAGAAGCCTGTTCACTGAGGCTTAGGACTATGATTGACAGGGAAGTATCAGCAGGATACAGGCAGCAGTGTTGATTTCTGCCCAAGTCCATATTTTAGGGGTAATTATGAGCATGACAGAAAGGAGGTGACACAGAGCTGGTGAAGAATGGAAACTAAAGTATTAGACAACAGTGATATTCTTAACTATGCTATGCTTAGAGAGACTATTGTTACCTGTAAACTTTTATGGACATCAAAGAAGCTACAAAACATGTAATTGTATGTAGCATGGTTAGGGATCCACTGAAATAGAGGACACAGGCAGGAAAATTCACAGGCCTATTGCAGCACCTGCTGCCATTTTCATGATGTTTTGCAGCAAGATCCCTCCCCTTGCTGCTCATTGGCTGAGAGGTCTGCCCTTTAAGAGGCCCCATCCCTCGTTGTTGGTTGGCTGAGGGATGAGGGCGGTTCCACCATTCATGCAGTTCCACCCCTCGCCACAGATTGGGGAAGGGGCCACACAATGGGCAGCCCTCTCAGCCAATCAGCTATACAGGGAGGAGGGGCAGCCACCATCTTGACTTCCTTTTTGTGGGCCAGCAGCCGTGAGAACTGCTGGCTCCCAGTGGGGAGCCAGCATTTTATTTTCAAGAAGTCCCCCCCCCCGCCCCCCCAGCAAATCTGCTGAAAATTGTGAGGAATATTGCTTTTCATGGAAATTGCCTCAAATCTCCATTTCTGTGAAAAACGTGAAATAATGATTTAAGTAGGTCCCGAAACACGATATTCAGTTACTTTGTAGAGCAGGCATGCACAACTCTGTTGAAGCCAAATCAACAAATAACAACATATAGTATAAAAACTGGCTGACTTTTACCCTATTCTAGTATCTGCTTAGAACAACTATACCGGTATCTTTAAAATGATCCTTAAAAACTTTTTTACTTGTATTTTACAGTTAGCTTTTTGACCTTATCAAAAGTACCAGGTTTCTTAGCACAGCAAACCACTAGGGTTAGGAGGAAACTCTCCTTCTCCACCACCAAACAGCATTACATTTTACAATTGTTGTTAATGAGCTTTTTAAACCTTCATCCGAAGGATCCAGCAGCAGACAGTATTGCCTCCATGCACCCCTGATTTGACTGAATACAGCAATTCCTAGTATGCTCCTCAAAGACACAAATACACACGTGCAAATGTGTGCACACACAATATCTTATAGGGTTATTTGTATGTGCTCCTGCAGTACTCAGTTTTTAAAGCTAACCCATTAATAAGTAATACTGATGGTATGAAGAAATTGTAAAAGATGCCTTGTTAGCTACTGTATGGTCTGGCAGTGAGTCCTTGACAGCACAGCCATTATCACATTCTCTCTATAAATAAAAGAATGAAGCCACAGGACTTGATCACACAGATGTTTTGCTAGGTAAATAGGAAGAATTTTCCTAGTTTTACCAATTAATCTTAGCAGTGGTGACCTGATACAGTTCTGCCAGAAAAACCTTGGTGGACCTGGAATAAAAAGGCTTTTGCTTACTGTCCCCTTCCAAGGTTAAATAATCTAAATTGAAAAGGGGCCTGTTATACCAGAAAAAGTGTGTCCACATTTAGACTTACCTTGGATTAATGTGGATCACATTTTAGCTTATACAGATATGATGATATAATAATGTAGACGAGTCCTAGTGAAGGCAGAAAATAGGCTTTTGTTTGGCCCCACCTTGCAAATAGATGACCTCTGTGCTTGTTGAGGTCCTGCTGAGATGAAATCTTTTGAATACCTTAAGTTGAAGGCTTAAACAGATCTTTGAAAAGCAGTGGAAACTTCCCTAGATCACTAAGGTTGTAACCTTGCTACATAAACCTCTGATGAATAGCTCTACTCTATAGCAGTATATAGCCAGTTTTATAGAAGCTATTTACAATGGCTAAGAACATAAAAAGAAATATATGCTGAAACTGTTATCTTGTATAACGACTGGATTCAAGCAGGGATTCCAAATGACACTGAATTACACTTGCTCAATTTAATTTATAGAGAGTATGTAGTTACCAAGCCTGAAAAATATCAGATCAATAGTATGGGAAACAAATGGCCACATAACCAACTTTGTTTGAACTGCTGACAGATGGTGTGAACAGTGACAATATAATATCCTTTTTTGCTTCATGGTGGGGTATAAAAAAGAATATAAAAGGAAGTACAAATAACACTTTTCTTTCACTATTACCTCTCCTTTACTGTGATGACCAGTCGAACATCGCCCACTGCAAAGGTATAAAAAATTTCTTTGCAGGGCATCGTTACTTTTTAATTCAGAAAAATATTTTTGCTACACAACTTCTATTACATGATCTGGACTGTTCTTACATGACCAATTTCCCTTGAAAAGACCTAGGACTGGTTTTGCTAGTAATCTAACAATGTCCTTTATTAATATTTAAATGGACAGTTTGCTGAAAGGCTGTGTAAAAAGAGCCATGGAGCCCACTGTATTAGTGGTATAAGCAGGTGAAAACCAGAGAGGGGAGGACAAGTGCTTTGCCTCAGAAATCCTTAAGAATTGTCCACCAAATACTATGTATTTTAAGGTTCCACTTATGCTGATTTAAGCATCATATTAACAGTTAATAATCAGCTTTGCTTATAGGTACATCTACTATATTTACTTGAATAATTTAGCTAGTACAATGTGTAATAAGCCCCTAATAATTTAGCTTTAATTTCTCCTTCAGTTACAGCTTGGCAAAGATTCTTTTATTTTATTGCTTTTGGATTTTCATCACAAACCTCTGCATTCCTATTTTTCTACTGCTCACTACTCATGAATGACAATGAATGTATAGGATAAGCTAGTCCCTGACTCAGTGCAGCTATTTATTCTAACCTGCATCTCAGGTCTTGCAACCAGCAACACAATTTTCTTGCATTCATCGCTGGAGAGCAATGCCACTGCCTCCTCTCGATTCTGGATGTCTTGGCCATTTATCTAGAAAACAAATGAAAGTGGCACATTAGTTTCTATTTCCACAAAGCAACACACAATAAAGGGCAAATATCAGCTCATTTGCGGTAAATGTATGGACAATGAAACTCACACAATGGGCTCATCTTCAGCCCCTCAGTGGTAAGTGCCTTCACTCAATTATGCGCTTACTGTAAGAGCTGTATCGATCGCTGAAGGATGGCGGACATCAGAGGAAGCAGTTATGTTCATAAATGTCCAACCTGCGCCCTGGCAACATACATCTAGCAACACAATTAACCAGCCCCTGACAGGTGACGTTCATCTTTCTCCGTTCAGAGTAATGGAAGTGTCACTCTGAGATAATAGTGCTGGTGGAAGCAAGACTGGTAATACTACAGCTGAAATCAGTCATACTGTATGCTTGTAGAGAGCCAATTAGAGGGCTACAGTATTATCTCTCACCAGGCAATACTTACAGGCCACTGCTTATTGCTGTTTCATTTAATCATTTTATGTTTGTGTGTGAAACTCAGTGTCCAGGACCCCTACAATCACAAAAAAATAAGCCCTGCCCCCAATGGGATAATCAAAATAAAAAATAGATCATCAATAAAAACCTGCTTTCTTACAACTTCTCTTTGTATTGCTGTTAGTGTTTTAAAACAATCACACTAATAACTACATGTATTTTACAGCCCTTTCCCAACACTACCATAGATGCTCCTTAAGAAAATCAGATTTCAACTACAAATCGTCTTGTTCTGAAAATGAAGGCTTTTTTCCCCCCATTTGTTGAGTGACGCAAGAAGTGGATTTTCTTTGCGATGCCAAATAGCATCATCAAAAAACATTTGGCTCATCTGAGAATTACTGGGAAGAGAGGTAAAAAGGGAATGATTTTAATATTTTTGTGGAACTAAAATACTTTCCAATGCTCAGTCCGATTAATCTATTTCCCCACCAATGACACTCAGTTTCAAAGCTTGTAGCAAAGGAAGACTGGGAAGGGGTGAAGTGCATAGCCTCAACAGGTTGCTTTGAAGACAGTTTTATTTAAGACTGAATAAAAACCCATATATATATAGTAACTGTCTGACTGATAGTATGCAAGATGTAGATAAAGCAAATTGTGGACTGTAAAAAAATGACACCTTTTTAGTTGTCCACAAGTACCCTGATCTTAAATTCAGAAAAGCAACCACACAGGCCATGGACCAGGTTGTCAGCTTGAGTAAAATGACACAGTTCTTGTGAGTTCAATACGATTGGCCTGGTGGCTCAAGGTAGATCACTGTATGTGCATACCTGTAGCAGCTGGAGACTGCCTTATCATAGTGAAGGTGAAAGGGACTGCAAAATACTCCATTTTGTCACAACTAGAGACACTTATTTGTGCAAAATTTGGATGTCCATTAATAAAAGCCAAACAAGTATTAGGCAAATCTCATCACAGTCATCCTTGCAGGGTCTTTCCCTTCATTTTACAGATTTTGCTGAAAGGTAATTAGGTTATTCTCATCTGCTTAAGGAAACAAGATTGGCTGTGTGCAGTATGCAAGTTTCTAAGGCCCCTGGCACATGTTCATTTAAAGGCTCCATGGGATCTGATCCCCAATCCCAGCAATTCCACCTCTTGTCATGACACTTGTGACTGGAATCAGAGATCAGTTTCAATTGTATCCTTTCTCCTTGCTAGTGCATGGGGAGCCCAAGATCATGATAATGATAATGATTGTGATCCTGGGCTCCCCCTGTGTTGGCAAGCTGAAAGACAAGTGCCCATAGTCCTGCATGACCCAGGGCTGTCCCAAGGCTGAAGCCCAATAATCAGGTTGTGAAGGCTGCTGGTTTGTTTTAGGGCTTCCTCCTCTGAGTTTAAACCCTACACCTGGCAGCCCCACTGGATCTCATCAGTTTTGTCAGGGGGAGCTAAAGGGCTTTCCTTGCCAAGGAATTGAAAGTGCGTGGGATTTAAAGTCTCCTGTTGAGGAAACTCTTCAGCTCCCCTGCTGGGAGTCTAGGATATCTCCCCCGTTGGGAACCTGTGATGCCTGGCAGTTCTGGTGGAGCTGCCTAGTGCAGGGCTTTAAACGCATTGGTAGGCAATCCCATTGGCTCTCTGTGCCTGCCAGTCAGTGTATATTTGGCTTTTTATTAAATTTCAATTAAAACTGAGCTCTAAAAGCAACAGTTGAAGATTGTTGGCACTGCCTGTGGACACTCAGGATTGACTGCTGAATACTAATAGCTCTGGTGTTTGGACACACCAGAAATTCAATTTAAGGTACCATGCAAAACAAACAAACATATTCTACATTATATGTGGAACATTTTTATGGCTGGTTTGCCATTTCTGATGCCTTAAATTGGGTGCATGTGTAGCATCTTTGTAATTTATGGTGCAATTAACAAATTAATCAAAGCATAAATGTAACATGTAGAAAGGCCTAAAGGAACCAGTCCCATGCTCTATGAGGAAGGCTGCTATACATCTCTGACAAATGCTCAAACAAGCATTCTCCCCCCATTCCCTTAACCAAAGCATCCTACTACCTACTCAAGGATTATGCTTTTCCAAACTTGAATGCAATCCCTATATAATGACATTGTCGTCTTTCATTTCTCTGAGTTACCTCACCAATAAGAGCATATAGAGGGCCAATGCATTTTCAGATAGAAAAGAAAACCCCACATAACTCACTTAGTGTTAACTTTAATGATCAAATTCCTGGCTACATATCAGCACTGGAATTACAGTAATGCTATTCATCTACAAAAAATGCAACAGAATCTTCTTTTACCTCTTGAGCCTTGAATCATGAGTGAAATGAATGTGATGGTCTCAAACTACTGTCTGTTGGATGACTGTCTGCACTGTACCTGGCAGTCTAATTCACCCAGAAACATTTAAAGAAATAAAATAGGATCAGGAATGAATGTCATATACTATCCATTTAAATATTTCAATATGCCTTAAAATGGGAAGGGTTTTTCAACTATGTAGAAACAAACTAGAATTTAATATCAAATACACTGGTTTTGATTTAGACAGTTAAATCAACATTATGTCCTGTTTCCTTTTCATGGAAGGCATTCTATAGATACATGTGAAAAATAATTCATTGACTTTTCAGTTTCTAAACAGATCTCTGCATAATCCCATCAAATCAAAGGTCCATTATCTTTTTATAGCATGAATGAGACTTCTGTGGGCACAGTTTTTGTGGTGTGAAAAATATGTACCTTTTGGACTACAAAGATAATAGGCCACAGGCACCTGCACGAGGCTCAACACATTAAAATGTAACATTTCCTTTCTGAAATAAGGGACACTTTAGCCAGCTACCTTGTAGATCCTATTGTGCTTAGATATGTTTTATTCCCAAAGCTGATATTGGAGTACAAAATACAGCTATGTTTTTTAGCAAAGATGTTTCCTGAGGAAATTAAAAAAACTGGCAGGATGGAATCAGATTGATTTTGCAACATGTACCTGAAATAATGATTGGCAGTTGCAAAGCTGGTTATTGAGAAGTAACTTGCCATTACCTGCAGTTACCACTGGGGCTTCAATGAAGAGAAGTCAAAATGTAAGGGTGGTTGGTTAGAAAAGTGTGAAGGGAGTTCACAAGCAGCAACATGAACTGAAGAGAGCTACTGAAGTCCTGAGTTTGGGTGTAGTGATGCATAGTTTCAGTAAACGAGCTTCTCTCTACACTGAAATCTGCTTTCCTTCTCCTCTCTGCAGTTAAATTACACACTTTTCTTTCCTGCTGACCGTACCAGCTATAATTTCCTTCTGATTGAACTGGGAAACTGAAAGCCATGAGGTTCACAATTAAAAGGACACCATCAGGTTCCAAATCATTGTCTGGGAAGGGAACACATCTTTGTACATGCTTGAAAATGCGGAACCAAGTCACTACCTCTTCCTAGCTCTACCTTCCCCAAGGTCAGTTTTCAGTTTCTCTCACCCACATACCTGGTCGCTTCTCAGCTAGAAGTTCTGAATCCAAATAAGGTGTCTTAAATAAATGTGAGGTTTGATCATAATTTAGTGCAGTCGCCCATGGTAATTATATTTTAATGTCATCTTCTCAAAAAGAAAGAGAGATCCATTCCTTTTTGAATATCCTGTTTGGCTAACTAACATCTCCCCTCCTTTCAAACCCATGCTTTTTCAATCAGTTCTCTGAAACGTGCTTGTGGGTGGATACTCTCAAATACAGACTGTCTTGCTGGTTCACTCCTCAAATATTGCATACACAAGTCTTAATACTGTTTGATGAAACACTTTCAGTTGAATGTGAAGTACATTGTACCCACATGAGCACCCACACTGCAGTGGCCAAGGTTTGTTTGGGCAGACAAAGCTGAAGCTGTTCATTATCTGAGATCTTTATATTGCTCATTTGTTTGCTAATCTGCTGTTATCAGTATAACCTCCTTTTTCTTTTCCATTATACAGCAATCTGTCTTATAGCTGCTGCTGTTGAAGGCACTGCTGGTGTGGCCTGCTGAGAAGCACTGTGCTTTATTGGAGGAAACTATCTCAGATCTGGAGGGTAAATAAATCTTAGATGCTCCTTGAATGGATCATTAGAAACCAAGAATAAATAAAACAATTGTTTTCATAGTGGCTCACCAGAGAAATCAGGAAAGTTCAGTTATGAATGATGGAGGCAAATGATGTAGGCAAAATTAGCCAAGCTCCTATTTCCAGTATATTAAATAATCTTCTTTACAATTAGTCCTTCTTTTCTATGAAAAGCTTCTTAACTATGCTAGGTATTACTCAAAGTTTTACCCAGATTTATGCTACTACTGAATAATCATCAGGGCACTGCCTCCCATATTTCTGTTTGCAGCAGCCCTATTTAGAATTTGACACTGAGATGAACAAATGAGAAATAATATTTGATCATAAATGTGGCAAAAAAGATGCAGGATAGAAGTACATCAGCCAGAACAAGTTTGTCATTCTAGTTTTTAGTGCATGTCCTTTACTTCCTACCCATAGTGTGTAAAAGACGGACATAGTTTCATAGTTTCATAGATTAAGGGTCGGAAGGGACCTGGTAGATCTTCTAGCCCGACCCCCCGCCAGGGCGGGAGAACAACAAAACCCCAAAAACAAGAAACGGGACTCAAATAAGTCCAGCCAGGTAGGCATCCAGCCTCTTCTTAAAGACCCCCAGGGTAGGGGCCAGCACCACTTCCCTTGGAAGTTGGTTCCAGCTCCTAGCCGCCCTAACTGTGAAGTAGTTCTTGCGGATGTCCAATCTATACCTCCTGTCCATCAACTTGTGCCCATTACTCCTTATTATGCCAGCAGGCGCTAGGGGAAACAGCGTCTCCCCCAAACCCTTCTGGTCCCCCCTAGTGAGTCTATAGACGGTCACCAGGTCCCC